ATAGAGGAAAACAATAAGGTGGGAAAGACTAGAGAGCTCTTCAAGAAGCAGAAGAGATTAAGAAGAGGTGGCAAGAATACACAGAAGAACTATACAAAAAATGTATTTTAATGACCAAGATAACTATGATTGTGTGGTCACTCACCTAGAGCCGGACATCCTGGAGTGTGAAGTCAAGTGGGCCTTAGGAAGCATTACAACAAAGTTAATGGAGGTGACAGAATTCCAGATGAGCTGTTTCAATCCTAAAAGCTGAAGTTGTTAAGGTGTTGCCCTCAATATGTGAGCAAATTTGGAAAACTCATCAGTGCTCACAAGCCTGGAAAAGGTCAGTTTTCATTCCAATCCCAAAGATGGGCAATGCCAAGGAATGTACTAACTACCATACACCTGCACTCATTTCACATGCTAATTTCACATTTCACAACATAATGCTCAAAATCCTTCAAGCTGCGCTTCAGCAGTATGTGAACTGAGACCTTCCAGATGCACAAGCTGGGTTTAGAAAAGGCAAAAGAAGCAAGCGAAGCAACTGACAAAGAATTAATCTCAAAAATATATAAGCAGCTCATGCAGCTCAATACCAGAAAAATAAACGACCCAATCAAAAAAGTGGGCCAAAGAACTAAACAGACATTTCTCCAAAGAAGACATACAGATGGCTATCAAACATATGAAAAACTGCTCAACATCACTCATTGTCAGAGAAATGTAAATCAAAACCATAATGAGGTACCATCTCACACTGGTCAGAATGGCCACTATCAAAAAGTCTACAAACAATAAATGCTGGAGAGGATGTGGAGAAAAGAGAAACCCCTTACACTGTTGGTGGGAATGCAAACTAGTACAGCCACTATGGAGAACACTGTGGAGATTCCTTAAAAAACTGGAACTAGAACTGCCGTACGACCCAGCAATCCCACTGCTGGGCATACACACAAAGGAAACCAGAACTGAAAGAGACACGTGCACCCCAATGTTCATCGCAGCCCTGTTTACAATAGCCAGGACATGGAAGCAACCTGGATGCCCATCGGCAGACAAACGGATAAGACAAATGGATAATGAATTATCCAGGAATAGCTGTATAATTACTGGAATTAATGTTCCAGTAATAGCTGGAATATTACTCAGCTATTAAAAAGAATGCATTTGAATCAGTTCTAATGAGGTGGATGAAACTGGAGCCTATTATACAGAGTGAAGTAAGTCAGAAAGAAAAACACCAATACAGTTATATTAACGCATATATATGGAATTTAGAAAGATGGTAATGATGACCCTATATGCCAGACAGCAAAAGAGACACAGAGATAAAGAACAGATTTTTGGACTCTGTGGGAGAAGGCGAGGGTGGGATGATTTGAGAGAATAGCATTGAAACATGTATATTACCATATGTGAGAGATCACCAGCCCAGGTTGGATGCATGAGACAGGGTGCTCAGGGCTGGTGCACTGGGATGACCCAGAGGGATGGGATGGGGAGGGAGGTGGGAGGCGGGTTCAGGATGGGGGACATATGTACACCCATGGCTGATTCATGTCAATGTATGGCAAAAACCACTAAAATATTGTAAAGTAATTAGCCTCCAATTAAATTAATTTTAAAAAAAGATAAAAATCCATCCCCAAATTTTTTTTATTAGGGTATGGTTGATTTACAATGTTGTGTTATCAATATCAATTTATATTTCTAATACTGGTGAATGGAAACACTGAGAAATCTTGTTCACATAAATACTCAAACAGAAATGAAAAGTGATTTGTTATAGTAGGGACACTCAATTCTTTGAATTTCTTCTGAATTAAATGACAGAAATGAAAAAAAAAAAAAACACAAAAAAGAAAAAGCAGAGGAACCAGAGATCAAATTTTCAACATTCTTTGGATCATGGAGACAGCAAGGGGATTCCAGGAAAACATCTACTTTAGCTTAACTGACTACACTTCACTGACTCTGCTAAAGCCTTTGACTGTGTGGATCACAAAAAACTGCAGAAATTCTTAAAGAAAAGAAAATACCAGAAAACCTTACCAGTCTCATGAAAAACTTGCATGTGGGTCAGGAAACAATAGTTAAAACCTTACATGGGACAATGAACTGGTTCACAATTGGGAAAGGAGTATATCAAGGCTGTATACTATCACCCTGCTTATTTAACTTATCTGCAGAGTATATCATACGAAATGCTGGGCTGGATGAACCACAAGCTGGAATTAAGACTGCTGGCAGAAATATCAACAACATAAGATATGCAGATAATACCACTTTAATGTCAGAAAGCAAAGAGGAACTAAAGAGCCTCTTGATGAGGGTGAAAGAGGACAGTGAAAAAGATGGCTTGAAACTCAACATTTAAAATACTAAGATCATGGCATCCAATCCCATTACTTCAGGGCAAAGAGAAGGGGAAAAAATAGAAGCAGTGACAGATTTTCTTTTCTTGGGCTCCAAAATCACTGCAGTCAATGCAGCCACAAAATTAAAAGACACTTGCTCCCTGAAAGGAAAGCTGTGACAAACCTAGACAGCATGTTTAAAAGCAGAAACATCACTTTGCTGACAAAGGTTCATTGAGTCAAAAGTATGGTTTTTCCTGGAGTCATGTACGGATGTGAGAGCTGGACCATAAAGAAGGCTGAGTGCTGAAGAATCGATGCTTTTGAATTGCAGAGTTGGAGAAGGCTCCTAAGAGTCCTTTGGATTGCAAGCAGATCAACCCTGAATATTCACTGGAAAGACTGATGCTGAAGCTGAAGCTCTAATACTTTGGCCACCTGATGCAGAGAATCGACTCTCTGGAAGACCCTGATGCTGGGAAAGACTGAAGGCAAAAGGAGAAGGAGTAGGCAAAGGATGAGATGGTTGGATTGTATCACTGACTCAATGGACAAGAATCTGAGCAAACTCCAGGAGACAGTGGAGGACAGAGCAGCCTGGCGTGCTGCAGTCCACGGGGTCGCAAAGAGTCAGACAGGACTTAGCGACTAAACAACAACAACATGTGACTTGGACCTCTTTTACTTTCAAGTTTAAAATGTAATATATTTCACTTAGTTTACTCCTTTGTTCATTATAAGTATATATGCCCTTGTTTCTGACTTTGGTCAAATGATTGATTATTCATATGATATGGGAGTTATTTCCCTAAATATCAGAAAGTTCACGTTACATAACGTTATACTTTCAAGGACAATTTGTCTAGACTGTCTGGGTACTATAATTTCCCTAATACTGGACATTCTGTTCCAGAGTCATAGGATCTATTTCTCACAACTTCCAATATCTTAGGTATATGAGTGATTTATTGAGAGGAAAAGGAATTAAACAACCAAATAACTGAAAGATGCTTAAAGGCAGATATGATGAATACTACTATCAATGCCTTTCTAAAAATCTTATTCCTCTAAAGGAATAAGCAAGCCGAGCTTGTATGTGTAAGGAAAGGTGAAGTAATGGTGAGTTAGGACAAAACTGGAATAAAATATGAATGGGTAGGAGAAAAGTATTTGTCCAGAGATAAGTAAGAGTATCTTTCCTTCAGAGAAATGAACCCAAGGACAGGAATTCTAAGGAGACAGCAGGTACAGGTGCTTTGCTCTCTGCTCTCTAATGGCTGAGGGATAAGGACATGATTAAAATTTTTGTAGGGACGGTAGAAGGGCATCAGCACAGTATTTGGTTTAAAAAGAGCTCAGTCTATGGTATTTTTGGTCCATTTTCTAAGCTTGTCAGTAATACTACAGCCTACTGTCTGGGTCTCTCTTGGCACAAGCAGAACAAGCAATGTGGAAATTACGTAGATAATTTAGGCAAGAAAAGCACTAACCAGATTTTCTTCTTTCAATCGTCAGAATACACACTCTCCTAGAAGGCCATGTTTGCCCTACACCATCATTCATCGGAATGACGCTGGACTTTTTCTCAGTATTACGTTTGGAACTAACAGAAGCAGTGGCTGCATAAAATACACACTACAAACTCTAAGATGGAACGAACAATGAGAAACTTCCTGTTGTCTACTCTACCTCCTAAAGAAACAAGTTCATGGCCCCTACTTTGATCTTTATGGTTAAAAACGGAATGAAAGGTAAATGCCTTGTAAACCTATTTTCTATATAACATTTGATTGCTTGTGATGTAAACTAATCCATCTTTAGGCTTTACTGGTAAAAATACAGTTGTAAATTTGTACTCTGAGCTTACAAAATTCACTGAAATGATGCATGGTATGATTTTTAGATGAATGATTTTCAACATGATTTGCAAAAAAAAAGATCAGTGTTCATCACCTTATTAGGATCACATAAGAGCATTGTAAGCCTTAATGCATATCACAAAAATGAATAAAAGAAACACAGCCAACAAATTTACTTTGAAGAAGGATAGGTAGATGTGATGATTCCATGAAATTAAGAAAATAAACAGTAAACACCATGTCTGCATTTCCAGTTCTCTCTTACAAAAAAAAAGGGTGGATAATTCAGACTTCAGTTGTCACTGATACAGTGCTTGATCAAGCTTTAGGCATTATCCTTGTTCTATATGCACAGAATAAAACCATGCGCCATCTGAGCAAGAAGAGAATCTTCATTCTTTGTCCTTCTGACAGAGAACACACGTTTGAAGAGGTTTAATACTACGTCCACCTGGGTGTAATGTGGGCAGTCAGTCTATTCAATACAGTTTCTTATTTTTCAGATAACTGGGGCCTCACAAACTAAGCAGAAACAATGTCCTGTATTAGTCTTTAAAAGAGAAGAACTGGGGCGAGAGGGCTGGGGTTGGGCAGAAAGGCTCCTATGTGCTGAATAAAGCAGTAAGCATTTACTCTGAGAAAGAAACCAATAAACATTTGAGAATGAAGCCTTCTCGGAATAGAGCCTGACTGCACATGTCCACACTGGAAAGATCCGCGAGTTCTAACCCGCTAGGGAAGAGGAGTAAAAGGTACGTTCAATCTCTTGCCCTCTATACCGAACATCAATACTTACATCTTGTCTTGGCCGGCTCCAACTCTGAGAGTCAGTCTGGGTATAACCGGGCTTGGGGCTGGGACCACGGGCTCCACTTTGATCTGTTGAAGACAGTACATTAGAGTCAACTATACTTTTCTCGACAGATGTACTACCTCCATTTTCTCCTACACCCTCATCCCCACAAACTTGACAGGCTTTTGAGTTTCAAATGTGGCTGAGGTGCTAGAGGTAAAGCTAACCTGGGGCTCTTTTGTTTTCATTTCTCAAAGACTGAGGCATCATAAGAAATTCCCCAAACTTTAAACACTTTAAATATGGGAGCTATTTCTGTATTTGCTTAGTTTTGATTAATTTCTCAGATTTTATTGTCAGAATTTTTAAACAAGAATTGTTGCTTTGGTCATTCAGTGGAACAATTACGTGACTGCCAGATTTAATATATAACAGGAGAAAATTGCAGCAAAAGCTCCACTATAAGATAAAATTTATGGGTCTTGAAAAACATTAAACTCACGTTTATCATGCCATATAGGAAAACCAACACACCCAGTGTAATTACAGCACTGAACTGCTTCATTTTTTGGCTAATAGAAAAGTGATCTAAAATAGTGTAAGTGACAAAACATATTTACTTAGAAAGGATTCACAGTGAAGGCAGTGACTGCTGAGTAAGTTGAAGATACCAGCTCGAATAGCTGAGCTAATAATCAAAAGGGAACATACAAATGAACTATGGTGTTGAAAGGACTTTGTCACGATTTCTGACTTGAAGATCCCCTGTGGTAAAATCAGTATTTTAACTGGACAAGACGAGAATCATCTGCACCACAGTTTTTCAGCAGGTTTTACTGGCATTCTCGGTGGGGTGGTTTGCTGCTGAGTGGGTGACCCACTCAGCTACGTGTCAACATCCTGGCTCGGCAGGAGGACGCTGCTAGTCACTGCGACAACCGGTGCCAACCTCTGATTTATGTATTTCAACCTCAAGAGAAATTAAGAAAAGAAACAGTGCACTGGTTCTCAAGGGGAAGGACTTTATAACACAGTGCTCAATATATTGCCATTGGCCAAAAAGTTCATCATGGTTTTTTCCTATGATGTTGAGGAAAAACCCAAAGGAACTTCTGGGTCAATCCAATGGTATCTCACAGAAACAATACATTGCACATTGATCAAACCGACCATTTTTTAATATGTTTTAAACTGACCCCTTCTTGAGTTTTGTTTTTTTAATCCATGGTCACATCAAGATCTATGACTTCCTTCATTCTCCTGAGCAGTGCATGACACACAGGTGGTACTCAACCAACATCTGTTGAATGAACCACTTATCCTGCAAGCACCCTCAACTCCCTGCCTCTCGGTCATTTCACCATTTGTCCAGGACCAATCTGAAATCATTCCCCAGAGCACTAATTCCAAAGAAAAAATTTAAAACTGCTCCAGCTTCTGCCATCAAAACTCCAATTTCATCTGTGCCTTTAAGACTGTCTGCCTATTTGGATTCTCTGCTAAACTAGATAAGAGTGGAGACCATGCCTGCTCTGTGCATTGCTATTTCCCAGTGCCTGTTGTAGGGTCTGACACATAAGTGCTTAAGGTATATTTTAAGAATTAATCGGAAGCAATGATTTCAAACATTTACAGCTTTTAAGACCCATCCCATGATTTCCTTCCCCTTCTGCTCACAAACCCCACAGGAAAAAATGCTGAAACCACTGGGCACACAACTCCTCCAATTCCCTACAAATGTTTGCACCCACTATTACACTAGAGTCCATCACCTCCAGCCTTTGAAAGAAACTTCCTCCTTATTTGTGGCATCCTCACCTTCTCAGTTCATTATTTCCCTCCAGCATTCTAATGCGCTCAACTCTCACTTAAAAAATTTATCTCCCCTTTACCCTCTCACTGACGACATGTTCTAGTCTTTACTTCATCGTCTCCATTTCTTATTCACTCCTCACCCAGCTCCACTCCACTTTCTGGCTCAAATGAAGCCACTCTTTCCAGACACTCACTCTTCCCCAGTGCTCCTGTCTATTTCTCCACTGAGGTCTTCACCATGCTCCTCCCTGGCCCTAACAAAGTCCTCTTCTCTGGCCTGACCTCGCTGGGTCCTCTCCTCTCGTCACCCGGCACCGACTTCATTCACATTCACGGATTCAACTGTAAAAATTTTCAATATGTCATGTCTTTAAAATCAGCCTCTCTACACCAGGACTGATTGGAAGTAACCCAAAATATAATGCTATCTACTGGGCATTTTCAACTAAATACTCTAGAAAGATTTCACCACATCTAAATCTTATCAGTTCCCCCACAAAAACTGGCTCCTCTAAATGGTTTCACTTTTGCCCGATTCTTAATCCAGTGGTTTCCACGAAGCTTCAGGGACCAAGGGTCACTGGGGTGGAGGCACAGAGAGACCCATGGAAAAACCTGTATTCACTTTCTCTGATTCTTTGAACACCGAGGTCTATATCTAACACAAACCTGAGGGCCAATGGTCTAGCCTATTTTGTAAACAACTAAGGTTTCTATATTTTTCTCACCATTCTGGGTTACCTGTGGGAAAATAAATATGTCCCAAGCAAACATTTATAAAACACTTAAATTCTTGCCAGGCATTGCATTTGGTTATTTTTCAGATGTTCTCATTCAGGTTCTTTAACAAACAGGTGGGGTAGGTATAATGGTTTCTGTTTTACAGAGAGAATGATCATACACGAAGCAACCATTTTTCCTTTCTTTCTGTTTCCTTTTCCTTTTCTGTTTTCAGGTCACAAAAGTAGCAAAACTAGGACTGAATACAGTTTTTTAATTCAGAGAAAGAAAAATTATATAAAGTTCCTAAATTTCTTCAATTCTAAAATATTTTAGGGTCTCACACATACACTCGTAAGTGATGCGAGTATTAGAAGTAATATTCCATATTCCTTCAACCCACAATACTATTACTGAAACCCCTTAAGCTTTATTAAAAAATTAAAGCTGCTTGCCCTATCTTTAAAAAAATCTTCTTTAGTATCATTATGCTTCTCACTTTACTCTGGTCCATTCCTATGACCACACTGCACAATAATTACAACTTACTCACACTGCACTTCACAAAGTGTGTTCCATACACACAATCCCGTGTGATCTCCATAACTCTCTAAGCTAAGTGTGGAAGGAATCAGCATCATTACTCACATGTAACTGAGGGCTCAGAAAGACTGAGTGGTTTGGCCATAGTTACAGAGGTAGTAAGTAAATGACTGAAATTCAGTTCTCCGCCCCCAAATTCATCCTCTGTTTCACCACACTATTTGTGACTCTTTGCCACATATTTTGGGTCTTTTTTTATGGTAATGCTGATGTCCTGCACGGAACTATTCAGTTTCTTTGTCAATGTCTTTTATGATGAGTGACACATACTTGTGAGATGGCTAGGGTAGAGTGTAAAATACAGTTTTTCCTCCTATGGGAAACTAACTAGCTTATATGGAAATTGAGATCAATGTCAGACTCACCTCCATTCAACTAAACTTGCTGGCTTTTTGAGGCTGACTGCAACGACTTGGCAGGACAAAAAGAATCAAGGCATGGTCTATTTACAACCCACTATTTAAAAAAAATTAAATGATACAATATGTGAAAGCAAAAGGAAACAAAAATGCAGAGCTATTTTAAGAGTCAGATTAAAAATGGTATAAATGTGCCCTGAGGACAACAGATATTTAGTAGAATTGCTGAATTAGTGAACGACTCAGAACCTGTTACCTCAGCTCAAAGTTTTCCCTGTAATTAGGGTGACTACCCCATCCAGAAAGAACTTTGACAGCGAAAGTAGGAGCTGTTATTTATACCATGTAACAGGTGTAAACTGGATTGTCCCAGGCAAGCCAGGACATATGGCAACCCTACTGAAAAATAGTTAAATACTTTCATTTCATTCTTAAAGAGGTCAAAGCAGATTTAACCGAAAGATAAAACTCAAGCACGCATAGAAAAAGACTAGTAAGGATGCTAACAATGTCGACAGAGAAAGCACAGTAAAACTCTCTCCCCAGACTTTTGTTCACACTGACTTTATCTGAGCGGCCGCCCAGATGTAAACACAGGGACGTTTCCTACAGTCGTGCAGTGACTTCTCATGTGCCCAGCCCCTGGCAGTCAACACACTGGATGACAACGGCTTCGATTTCTTGAACAGTAAGACTGACACCGTCTTTTAATGGCGTGAAGCCAAAATCCAGGGGAAAGAGGAGCTTGTAAGGGTTAAAATAAAAGAAGAGTACTTTAGAGTGATGCTGAGAATTGGGGCGCGTGGGAGAGCATTTACAGTGGATTACTAAGCTTCCCAATTCACTAAAGAAGCAAAGTCCAGTAATATAAGACTCCTTTGTAGCTAACTAAAAATACATTGTCAGTGGATTTGTCCAGTTTTATGTATAAGCAATACTTCTTTCACCTGAACTAATACTAGTAGTCATATAAGCCCCTTATTGCCATGTGCTGCATTTTTTTTGCTAATCTTCAAGGATTTAGCTTCTTTGCCACATACCTCAGGGCACCAACTGATAAAGCTCTAACTCTCCATTTTTCCAGGACACCAGCAGTGCGGCCTTGCAAAAAATGAAAATCACTCAAGAGATTTAAAGGGGAAATTTATTTTTAAAATCCTGACTTGAAGCAAAGAGGTGGATTTTTTAAAAGCTTATCTATAAAGAATCAGTTTAAATTTAAATTCTATCTTGGAACTCTTTCATGCATTCCAGCTTTAAAGTTTATCTTCTGACAGGGACTTTCTGCAAAGGTAATGGGCAGCTTTGTCAATATAATCTGGCCAAGTTTTTACTTTCTATTTTTTTAATGTTAAACTTCTTTCATTAACCACACACACACACACACACACACACCTAAATATGTGTGGCAGCAAGTTCAGCCAGCACTGGTTCAGATATCTATCTATGCTAATATATCAGAAAAACACCCCAAAATAGTATTGGTGGAAAGCTGAATTTAATAACCTAACATTGCAGATGCTCAACTATGTCAACTGGTAACTACTCTTCTGTCTTTCTTAACAATGAAGGTCTTTACATTATTTCCATTCAGAAACATAGTCTAACTAACACTGATAAACTGTTTAAAAATTAAACAGATGGACAGAAGAGGACAGAAGATCTGCAGTTGTGGTCCAGTGGGGACCACAAGTGGGATCCAGTGGGGACAACGAAACAGCATTCGGGCTCTTGGTAAAAGAGTTCAGTTCGTGCCTCCATAGCCCTGGGTGTGGGCTTGAGGAAGCGTCTATAAACTCAAACAGACTCATTTATCATGAAGTTACTAGTTTCCTTGTGGAACAGATAGTTAAAAGAAACAGGAAGGGCCTATTCCCCCTCCTTCTTACTGAGGTTAGATTTTATTTACTGAAAGCCCCCATTTCACTAGTGTATCATGGAAGCTGATGAGAACACGATGGAAATGAGTCAACAGTATACTTACAACAGAAAGGTAAGACGCCAGGGACCTTTTGTCAAGAGGTGCGAACCGAGGAGACCACTCTTCAGCCCCACTTAGTCTTTCATACATGCACAGAAGTAAGACTAAAGTGAGCGCAGCAGGCTGCCCCAGGGAACATGGTGAGGAGGGCTACAGTCACCCAAGTTGCCCAGGCGCCCAAGCTCACAGGCTGGAAAGGTCGGGGTGGGAACTCAGGCTTAACTCCAAAGACAGCAACGTTTATTAATTGTAAAGCTCTCCTGGCTGATTCTGATAAGTTTTTATCTTTAAAAACTGCTCCATAACCATCAAAACTGATACAAGAACCTGATTACCTCTGTCAGGTGAAATCTGTGTGGCTTGTAACTGAGCCTCCAACAATGATGGTCTGAGGGACCGGTTCTTCCCAAAGGCAGGGGTCGTTTTACCAGCTAACCTGACACGTTAGGTCCCCCACCATGGACTTTCCAGGCCTGAGATGGTGATGAAAGCAAGTGTACTCTTGATTTGCTAAGGTACTATGTACCTAATGGACAAGCGGCTAACTACCGTAAACATTTCAAAACGGGAAGTCAATTTTGTGTGTAAAGGACCTGGTTCTTGCTGGCTGTGACCTCAATCCTGGACAAGTCGCTCAGGCTGTTTCTCATCCATAAACATAAACATCCATAAACATGAGACATCTTTATGTCTCATCCATAAATGTTGATAACAATACCCATGGGACCCAGGTCACATGGGTGTCAGGGGAGAAACTAAGGCATGTGGAGGTGCTTTAAAATCTTCCAGGTACCACGGAAAAATAATGCAATAATAAAGCGATTTCAAAAATGGACAAAAAAGAGTTGGATTTCTGTGTCTTGTTAACCTGCTGATGTTCAGTTATTAATTTCAGAATTTCCACTCTACTTCCTTCTGTTTTAGAATAATAGCCAAGGGGAACAGAGAAAGAATAAAGTTAGGCAGGAAAATGTGAGATTACCCTGGTGAGCTCATCAGCTAAACTAATTTTCCTAGTTAAGTCTGAAATGAAAATCAGTGCAAAAGTATGGATTATGGAGCTGCTGTAGGTCAAATACAGCATACTTTACCATGTGGGAAAAATTACTGGGTATGATTTTGTAGCCAGCCACAAAGAGGGATGCTCCCAGAGGGCAGGGAGAGGTTCTCTGAGGGTCTGTGTGTATGGCAGCAGGAATACTTGGACACTTTTAAGAAAGTTTAAAAGAAGTTGTCTGATCAACCAGTCAACCACTGTAATCCAAAGAATGGTGGGGAGAGAGCAAAGCTCTCAATGCAGAGGTCACACCCTGTGGCCCCGGGCTCAAGGTCCTTCCCGCAGGATGTATCAATTCATCGGTTTCTTAGACTGTGTTCTACGGAAGCCTGAGCTACTTACATGGAAAATATTCAGCATTAGTTTCTCCCCACTAACCAGGCTGTCAGATGAGCTAGATACTCAAAAGATGTGTCCTCATCTTATTAAAGCAGAAAACAGAAGGATAAGACGTGTTACAGAAAGTAGAAGACAGGCATGACCTTAAATACTTGCAAAACAGCTCACTGTGCAGAGAGCTGCGTCAGGGAGCGAGGACCCGTGGACCTTGCTGTCCTCTTAGGAGGGCAGGGCCATGGTTTTGCCTGCTCTGAGAAAACGAGGGGCTGCCTTTTCCAGGTATCTGCTATTTGGGTACAGATCGGTATGCAGCAGACTTGATAATTATTAAAAAAAATACTATTTACAATTGAAGAGATTACGGATCTTTTTAAACTAGCCAGAGATTAGTGTGGCTAACAGAGATATGATGGCCAGTGGATTGGATTCCTCTCAGGCTATGAATTTTGAATGTTTTCTGGTGTATGGGGGCGGGGCAGGGCAGGGGGAGGGGGAGGCTGCTGACAGGTTCATGGGTTTGAGAATTAAAATTAAGTTTTGTAAACACATTACAGGCCAGCTTCCGGTGAAGCTGCGGGTGATCTACATCGGAACGGACAGACCACTGCTGGCTCTGCCTGCGTCTCCCACCGGGACAGGGTTCAAAGGGGCCCCGAAGGTAAGGCGCTTACTTTCTCATGCTTGTGTCTCTCCTTCTCCTTCTCCCGCTTCTCTCTCTCGCGCTTCTCCTTCTCCCTCTCCTTCTCCTTCTTCTCCTTCTCCTTTTCTTTCTCCTTCTTTTTCTTCTTCTCCTTTTTGTCCTTCTTTCTCTCCTTCTCCTTGGGCTTCTCCTTCTCCTCGAAGAGCTTCTCGGGGAGCACGGGCGTCAGGGAGGGCAGCACGGCCGTGATGCGCATGGCGGCGGCGGGGCTGAACAGGGGCAGCGCCACGTCCTTGGGGGGCAGGACCAGCGGGGCCGGGGTGGCCTTCAGCTTCTCCTCTCGGCCTTTCTCTTTCGCTTTCTCTTTGTCCCGCTTTTCTTTGTCCTTTTTGCCCTTTTCTCGGTCTTTTTTCTTGTCTTTGTGCTTCTCCTTTTCCTTCCTCACCATCCCATCTTTCAACCTGGCTTTTGGATCCACATCTTCGAACTCTTTTATCTTAAACTTGTAGGGATCGGCCTCTTCGTCTTTGAGAAAGTCCTTCCAGGGATACTTAGCTTCCTTGCTGGCCTCCCTGTCTTTCTCCTTCTCCTTCCCTTTCTCCTTCTCTTTGCTTTTCTCCTTGCTTTTGTCCCGGTCCCTCTCCTTATCTCGCTGCTTCTCTTTCTTCTTCATCTTCGTCTTCAGTTCCTTTTTCAACTTCTTTTTGACGTCCAAGGAGGCGGGTGGTTTGGGTTTCTCCTCGTACACCTTGTGCGAGGGCTCGGGGGTGGGAGGAGAGACCGAAGGGGAGGAAATGTAAGGGAAGCTGGGGGGCATGCTGGGAGGGGTCCCCATCTTGGCCTTCCGAACCACCTCGTCGATGGACGCGTCCATTGTCCACGAATTGTCCGAACTTGAAGTTCCGCCTGAAAGAGGCAGAGGGGTGGACCCGGACTTGGGGAAATTATTGGAGGAGGTGGAGGCTTTGGGGGTAGCAGATTCTGAACCTGAAATTCTCTTAGGGCTGGTAAAAATGTCTCCTTCTGATTCGGACCCAGAAGAGAACTCAAAAGGATCGGGCTCGCGTTCCGCGCAAGCCCGAGCGATCACGGCGTCGATGGAGTCGTCGATGGTCTTGTCGGTGATGACCGCCTTTCTGAGCTGACTCTCGTTGTTCAGCCGCCCAGCATCAGGCAGTGCTTGTATCTGTCTCACCTGAACAGCCTCTTTACTGATTTTCTCACTTATTGTGGCTGAAGGAGTCCTGTTGGGGGTGTCAGGTCTGACAGGTACTTGGGGAATGTGAGTCATGACCTTGGGGCTCTTGGGGCTCTTGGGGCTCTTGGAACGTCCAGGAGATTTCTTTTCTTTGGATATGGTTTTTGGAGACCGAATAGGACTTCCGACCATGGCTGGTGACGGAATCATTTTGGGTGATTTCGTCTTCTGTCCTGGAGAACTGGTTTTAGTCTTTGTTTTGGGTGTAAACGACTTTGCTTCCAATGGTTTTGCGGTTGGCATCTGTGATTTTGCCACTGGAGCTAACATTGGCGGCTCCGGTGATGGAGGAGCTGGGTCCGTGCTGTCCTGGGTGTGGACTGGGGACAGCATGGGAGGGATCTTCTGGGGGTTCAGCGAGCTGAGCGGCTCTCGAGCCTCCAGTACCACCACGTCCAGGGCGTCCCCCTTGGTGCTCAGCAGGCGTGGCCGCTTCATCGCGGGCATTTCTTCAGCTTCCGGACTGTCCAGAGGTCTCTTACCCAAGAAGTTCTCATCATTAATAATCTCCTCATCCTCCAGCTCGTCGTCTTCTTCCAAGGGAACCTGCATGGCTTCTGCTGACGTGCCTCCATCTGTGGGCACTTGCTCCTCTTCTTCTTCTGGGGAAGGAAGAAAAAAGGAAGTGTTATTAGAATATATATATTAAAAAAATAACCTAAGGGAAAAAAAAAAACCAACAACGCTTCAAGACATGATTTCTAGGAAAGAAAGGAAATTATTGACAGTTGTTAGAGAGTAGAGTGGTTAAGTTTTCTAGGACCTTCCAAACACACGTGCCGTCTTTGTTTGAGGAGTGGCGACCAGCGACAGGAGACACATGAACTGTTTTCCTTCTGAGCGATGTGGCCCTAAATGCAGGATCTGAAGTCTGCTAAGGATTTCCTCTTTGTCCTCTGCTTCCTTAATTCTTTTCCTAACTTGACTAAATACTGCCTTTCTTTTCTTCTCTTCCTCTTGTGTACATGCGCGCGCACACACCCCTCTTAAAAAACCAAGAGATGGTTTGTAAACCATCTAAACCTCAGAAACTACTAACCTCAGAAATGACAGGAAAGAATACTTTTTAATAGTTCATATGCTACTTCTTTCTCCCGTCTGCTGACTTGAGGACAGCCACTTTGAGAAGTGGTGTGGTGACATGGAAAGACACTCAGCTTGGCCTTAGAGATGGGGTTTCCACAGGCGTGCAGGCATCGCAGAGCAATGGGCCCGAGGCAGTCTCTCAACCTCTCAGAGGCTGTTTTCTGACCTCTCAAAAGGGGCTAATGTTACTTGCCCTGACAACCTGACCGAGTTGTTGTGCGGTCATATTCTTTCCTCCCGCACATATTAACTAAGCCGCATCTACCATGCACGATGATAAAGGCTGAAAGGGCTACTGGAGGAAGTCAGGAATAAACCACAACCTAAAAAACCTTACAGTTCAGCGGGAGACACCGTGTAGGAGGACAGCATGTGGAAAGTGATCAGGACCACAAGACAGGCCAAGTGTCAAAGCAGCTCAAAGGAGAAACAGATTACCTCTGCATCAAGACCGGGAAAAGACTTGACAAATGAGGGAGTGTTTTGGATATTTGGAGACTGGGAATGGAGAAGTACAGGATGAAGGAACAGATGACACAGAGATGGAGGGGGGCACAAGGAAACTGTATAAGAAACTCAGAAAGTATTAAAAAATTTATGATGGCTGCTTACATTTAAGTGAAAAAAATTTTTTAACATAATGCTTGATTCAAAGTGGGTCTCCACAAGCTAGGGAGAACTATTCCATTTCTGTTATTTTATTTTTAATGTTTAATTTTCATGTTTTTATTTCCAGTCCCTATTAACTTATATGCACCTAGAAGCTTTATGTTGTTTAGAGGAATATAAATGAATTATAAAAATACTTAAAAACACAAATGCTGCTTTTTATTAATTTAATTTACAAATATTTTACACTTAAAGATTTTATAAGAAAGCTTCAATGGCGGCATCAAAATTAATCAAAATGGAAGAGGGAATTTTGCTGGAAGAGAAAGACTTAAGCTTTAATAAGAACAGGAAAAGTGTGAAAATATTTATAACAGTTTTCTGAATTAGAAACAGATACATAACAGAGTGTGACTGCATGCAAGGCATAAAGCATAACGATGAATGAGTACCTATAAAACCACCACCCAACTTTAAGAAGACAACCCGAGCAGCACCATCGAGACGCCCCTTGGTCGCTTTCTGATGGATGCTCTCCTCTCTCCACGCCACCCCATTCCAGGTAACTCCTCTTCTTTCTACTGTCCTTCCCTTGTTTCCTGAACAGTTTTACCACATTTGTATGCAGTGACTTGTTTTTGAACTTTATGTAAGTGGTATCATACTATAATATCTTTCAGCTCATTTCCCCCCTAACAATATGTTTCTGGGCATCTCCTATGTCCATGCAGGTTCATTTTCACCGTTGTAAAAATGTACCATGCTTATTTATCCATTCTCCTGGTATTGAAAGTTTTCCACTTAAGCAAATATATTTTATTTTTAAAATATTACAAAATGCAAACAAATGAATACAACTGATCTAGCTTATGCTTGTTCAAACACAGACTTAATTGATGATTCTGCATAATTAGTGTCTGGTTTTCTATTACATGAGTTATTTTAATTCTTGGTCTAAGAGTTTGGAATAAGATAAATATGTAATAGCTACTGAATGGTTTATTCTCTACTGTCACCCAAACTTCCCCCTGCAGGTTAATTTCAGCTTGATTACAGGTGAATGGCAAGGAAGTGCTCATTGTGTGTATGTGTATAAGGAGCACAATTCACAAAAAAATCTGGAAAGTGCCCTAAAAGTGGTTTTTAGCATACTTATACTTTTCTTATACTTATCCATGAAAACAGCTTTATTATAAAATAGCATATAATTAGGTTAACAGAAGTTTAATATTACAAGATACCTGATCTTTTGACATGTTACTACACAAAGGTATAAAAAATAGTATAAAAAATTGAAGTCACAACTCTTTCTAATTTAACACAAATATAGATACAAGAACAGAAGCTGTGCTCCAAAGTCAAACAGGTGATGTTACTTGATATGAGAAGTATTTTAAAGATTTTTTTATTTCCAGAGAACTAAGAACTCACTTTCTACTGTTTAAAAATGTTTAAACTAGAGGGAAAGACTCTTCTGCATCCATGTGACAAACAAATATTGGGGGAAAAAACCTAGCTCAAGGAAAACTACTGTGACATTAAAATAAGTTCTTTCTGACTTCTCAGTGCTTCAAGTCCTTGACCCAGAAGATGGGGACACCCTAGTATTGCTTATCTTGTGAGGACAGTGAAAAGTGATTGCTAATTAGAGTTGCGTAAGTATTCAAACCACTAAATAATAACAATGAACAATAATAGAGATATACCTTTTAAAAATGACTTTACAATCCTTTTTGAGAAGATAAAAAAAACAAAACCAAAAAAACAGCTCTCCTCACTATAATCTCTCTAAGACCACATAACAGGGCAAGTCTGGAGTTAGCATCTCCAGGTCAAGTGGACAGTCACTGCGGTCATCTGCCCTAATAACTCCATCCAGCAGTGAGAGCGGTCTGGAGCTGTTGGGGAGACTCTGGAAGGATAACAGAAATTTTACTCAAGGAGGCTAGTTCTGTGGAAGTGTTACGGTCATGCTGCCAAAGGTAAGGTAAGGAATCATTTACAAAACTGGTGTTTCCCTTCCTGCTGATGCTAAGATTTGGCTAGAGGTAACAGATGACTTTTGATCTGATTATTCTTTGTGAGAGGGTTTACTCAAAATGCTGATACGTGTTATAACTGACTACTAGCACTGTCATTCATCAAAGACTACCATAAATTATGATTAAGTCCTACACTTCTAAGAGAAAAAAAAGGTCATAAAAAATGACATATGAAGAACAACATATAAACCAGGGTAGGAACCCCTATTACTATTTTTTTTAATGTTAAATTACTGGGAGAGATTCATGTCCACTACCAAGAACCTTACTCTTCATAAAAATTCACTAAAATGTGTGAACACTATAATCCAATCTAAGTAAAAACCTGACACATTAAGAAGTAACTTCTCATTCTGTCAAACGTTGTCCATATATAACAATACTTTTTCATTTGTCAAAAAGGGAACAATAGGCAATAATATGAATGATTCGGCACAAATTTATCAGCACAGTTAGAAATATCATTTATAATATATTTAATTGGTAGCAGAATATTACAACATGCAGAAAAAGATGGAGTTAATCTCTCTTTAAACAATCAATGATCTCAAGTCAACATTTGACTGTGAAAATTTTTCAACTTGAAATAATTTCAAACTTACAGAAAAGTTCTAAGTGCTACAAATTACTCACAAATAGCTTTTACCCATATTTACCAAATCAATATTTTGGTAGTGCAGAACAATTGTCAAATTCTTTTAATGTAAGAAAACAAATGGATCTATATTGCTGTCCATTGTCTTAAAAATTCCACAGATATTAAGTGGAGTCAGGGAGACACTACAAACACCACTCCAACTTCCTTCATTGATGACACAAATAAATAATCCACACTTCCTACATTTCTCAGGGAAGTAACACGCAAAACATGTTTCTTCACCAAACTTCTCTACGGCCACCTTTTTGGTCTAACGCATGCAAGTGTACCTGCTCCTCAGGTGGCTCAATGGTAAAGAACCCACCTGCCAATGCAGGAGACCAGGGTTTAATCACTGGGTTGGGAAGATGCCCTAGGTAGGGAATGGTTACCCACTTCAGTATTCTTGCCTGGGAAATTCCATGGACAGAGGAGCCTGGCAGACTACAGTCCACAGAATTACAAGAGTCAGACATGACTGAATGACTAACACACTTCTAAGTTATTAAAAATATTGGTTCAGAACATCTTTTTTAAGAAAAATCTTTTAAACCAGAATAATAAATGCCTTTAAAGAAATTCTATAATCTCAAAAGCTGATGGATGTTAGGAAATTGTTTGCATGGGCATGAAAGGTTTTTATCTCATTAACTATACAGATGCATGATCTCAAGCAGAAAATATATTTGTGCTTCTGAACTTTATAAGGACAATAAAATGCTACCTGTACATTTCACCAAAAGCTAAATGTACTTAAAACTAGATTTCTTGTAATTTTTTAAGAAATGTACATGCAGAAATTAAATTTCTAGCAACAATGACACAAACTTTCCCACTGTCTAATTAAATTATGGATACTAATGTTTTCATAATAGATATGAAAAGATTCATTTAAAATGGATGCTTTTCAGAAAACATCTTTCTATATATTAGGTATGTTTATTACAACCAGTTGGAGTGACTCAGTACTACTTGCATTCATTCATTTACTCCTTACTCATCACTCATTTATTGGTTCACCTTCCAAGAGCCTTGTAAACACCAGCAGAGCAAGCACCTCATTAGGTCCTAGGAACATACAAATAAGACACGACTTCCTATCCTGAAGAAGCCACCACACTGTGTGGCCATTGATTCAAGTGCTGTCTGTGGCAGTCACTGGCATACGGTACCCAAGCTGTCACATCCAGGGACATGGGAACAGAAACCCCAAGGTCGATCATAGAGG